GGCGGATGAGGCGGGGCCGTGCCGGGCCGCTCTGAGCCGGTCCGGGTTGAGCAGTGCCGGCTGTTTGGCGCCGGCACCTGCAGCCATGAGCTACGACAGCCGCCGGGACTGGGGCCGCGGCCGYGGCCGTGGCGGCGATGGCGGCTCTAGCTCCGCCGCCTCCTCCTCGGCGGGCTGGTCCGGCGGGCGCGGACGGCACCCCAGCCACCTGAGGGGCCGCGATATCGGGCTGTGGTACGCGCGCAAGCAGGGCCAGAAGAGCCGAGACTCGGAGCGGCAGCAGGTGAGGGCCGGGGGGACACGGGCCGGGGACGGGGCGCAGCCGGCGGGCATGTGGCTCCCGTTGGAACTGCGCGTCGGGAAAAACGCCGATTTCTGGTCACGCCGRAGAGCCTTGGTAGGCGTGGAACGCCGTGTTGAATGCTGATACCGGAATTGTTTGTGGATACACGGAGCCCGTGCTGATGGAAGTTGTGCTTTTCTGCTTTAGAGAGCCGTTGTGCARATGGATGAGCGCAGGGAAGAGCAAATCGTGCAGCTGCTGAATTCTGTCCAGGCAAAAAACGACAAAGAGCAAGAAGCCCAGTCCTGGTGGTCTGGAGATGAAGAAAGGTAAAGAGATAAAATTACCGGTTCTTTCATTTATTTTGAGTTGCACAATTTTTCCGTAAGCTAGCAGGAAGATGTGTCAGAAATTATTTAACTATTCAGTCAATTGGCTTAACAAATATGCTCAGGTTTTTCCACGTGTATTGTCGCACTGAAATGGTTGTAGCTATTTCTGTTAAACTCCTTTATTATTGCTGAGTTTGGGGTGTTAAATTTCTACTTCAACTCCTAAAAGTTATAACTGATCTCAAGGCCTACTATGGTAGATATATGGGATTTTTCAGCTCCCCTGSCCTGTGGAATTACTTTTCTAGAGGTGGCTTTTCCTGTTTTCAGATACTGTGCAGCCTTGGAACATTTTCTCAGTGTCTGTGAAGCAGGGTCTGTTCYGGACTCGTTAAGGATTTTCCGGAAYAGTTGGAATAGGCACGTGTGCTGAAATGAGGGGATTGGGGATCCATTTTGTTGAGGGATCCTTATATAGGACGGTGGAGCAAGAGCTAATTCTCTGATGATTTTTTTGTGCTTTGTAGCTTCATTTGGTACAAAAGACAGTGTTATTTTTTAGATCGTGATGTCAAGTTTTTGATGGTTGGTAGTTTGAGACTTTAATTGGTTTAATGACATTCACTGTAGTGACAGGCCCGGAGGTAATTAGGGATAATGGAAGGTCTCCCTGCCTATAGCAGGGGTGCCACTGGATGGGCTTTAAGGTCTCTTCCAGCCCCAGCCATTCCATGATTCTTTATTCCCGTGGGCTGCTGGTTCATTAACTGCTGGATGTAATTACATGCACTCTGCATGTTGCCAGGCACAACTGGGGGAATCTCTGAAGTTTTTGTTCTGTGACTCCAGCCCTRCTCCAGAAAAGCCTGCCAAAGTGAAACCGAATGCTGAAAAAGCKTCTATTAAACAGACAACAGCCTGGGAAAAAGCATTCCTGACTAGGGATRTGGAATATCTGTCTGAAAAAAATGAGAAGGATGCTGGTTTAGATGAGCAGCTTAAAGAAGACTTAATGAAGAAAAGATCTGATCCCAAATATATTGAAATGCAGGTACTTTTTCTGTGTTGAGTTGAAAACTTCTAACTGACATTTAAAAAAAAATAAGCTAACCTGAAAATAGCATATCTTGCAATTTACTGGAAAGTTGTCATGATCTTAGTTTTGCTAAAAATTACCTTTAGAATTCATACATATTGACAGAACAGTGATTAAAAATTGTAAATTATGAATTTCAGAAAGTTAGAATCTGAAATTTTAAGCTGACATTTCATCGGGTGGGTTTTTCTTTCTTTTTTTTTGGATTGTGTCCCTGCAGTTTTGTCTGAARCTAAAAGCACAACTCTGGACTCTGAAGAAATTGCCTTTTGAAAACAGAGATTTTGATGTTAACAGCTACATATAGAAAGTTGTCTTACCCTGAGCACCAGTTCTCTCTTCCATACTAGTCCCTGTTCTTGCAGCTGTATATACTTACCTTATCATATACTGAAYTGTTGGGCTGAAATAATTTTTGTAAATTGAATGAAACTGAAAACACACATGGAATTAAAGTGTTTATTCAAGTTTATCGTGTGGGCCGGTGTTTATTCAAGTGTTGCTCAGCAGTTTACCATTATTTTGCACTTTAGTCTAGGTTAGAGGTGCAATCTGTTCAGCTGTTCAGCAAAACTGTTCAGCTTCAGTGCTGAAAAAGTRTTTAAAGATAAATATTGTTTTCTTTTTTCCCCAGAGGTTCCGAGAGAAGCTCCCCTCATATGGGATGAGAGAGGTGAGTGTGTATTTAAAGAGAGAGAATCTGTGTTTCTGTGCTCCAAAACAGGAGAAGGCAGTTGTGCCCTGGTASTGGCAGCAATCCTTTGTGGCCTTCAGGAAAAGGGGAGAGGCCTCCCAGGTTCTGACCCTGATTTCTCTCTGGACAGTCCTGGGGCTCGCTGATCGGGATATGGGGCTCTGTACAGCCTTATCTGGGAATATAACTGGGAGTATCATGGGAGTGCRTGGCTGCTACACGTGCTTAGGAACACTTCTTAATAGGTCTTCTTTCTCTGCCAGCTAAACTTCCAGAAGGTTCCTGGTTACTCAGATTGTTATGCATATAAATTTGTGCCCTTTGTTGAACAATTAGCCAGTTTRGAATTGAATGTAATGCAAATTGAGCCTTTTTAGCTTTAATCAGTCTTTATGCCTACACTGCTGGCCCCCAGTGCCATTAGTTTCCCAGTCACAGGATAAGGTCAGTGACAGTAGCTGTTATTAATTGATGTTTATTCTTCAGCTGATAGCCCCTGTTTGCAGTGGAAATGGAGTATTCTGACATATTTGCTTTTGCAGGCTCAGTTGATGATTAGGGAGCTCCTTTCTATAGTTCAGCTATTTGCCATAATGTCATTTTTGTAGGCATTTATTTCTTCAAATATTCACACTCCCCTTAACAGTCCTTGGGGTCGGCAGGTAGAGGCCACTGTTTCTGTTGGTACAAGGAATGTTAAAATATTGTGCAGAGAACCTTTAGCTCAAACAGGCATGGAGCCCAACAGGGCAAATCTTGTTTTCAGTCCCCAAAAATCTATAGGAGGCAGCAAGGTTAAAAAATGAATTTCACCTTTCCTTTTAGTTGTTTTGTGTTGTATTCATGGAGGATCTAAAGTATTTAAAGCTAGTGTTGAGGTTGGGTATGCTTGAAACCCTGCACATGGGAAGTGCAGATGTGCAGCAATGATTTCTGTGAGGTGTAAACTGAACTTTTTCTGTAGCATGTATTGGGTCTGACTGAAGCAAAGTTCACAGCCCTCACAGTGCTTACAGGAAGCTGCTGACACTTTGTGCAGAGTTCATTCCACAGGAGCACAGAATTGTCGAAATCCTCGAAAATCTGTTTGGAACCACAACAGTAATTGTTCTCTTTGTTTGGGCCAGGAACTCGTGAAGCTGATCAACAGCAACTCCGTGGTGGTGATCAGTGGYGAGACGGGCTGCGGGAAGACCACGCAGGTGACCCAGTTCATCCTGGACGATCACATCGAGCGCGGCCTGGGCTCCACGTGCCGCATCGTGTGCACCCAGCCCCGCAGGATCAGCGCCATCTCCGTGAGTGCCCCTTCCCTGTGCACTCACTCAGTACACCTGAGCTTTTCACATTGCCTTTGGCTCCTGACAGCTCTGGGAGTGTGCACTGATGGCATATTCACAAGATTTGGCTGTTGGTGGAGTGCTGGCACTTCAGCCTCATTCTTCCTTGACTTTAGTCTTGGGTTGTTATCTGTGATTTTAATGGATTTGGGCAGTGCAAATGTCAATTAAGATAGAAACTAATGTTGTGTCAGGCCCTCTAGAGGTGTACTAATGAGCGGGGAAAGAATTTGGCTTTCAAGTGCTTAGTAGTTACTCTTCTGGATAGTTCAGTGTCAGCTTTACCCCAGGGGAAGCTAACCCTGCTGAAAGGGGAATGTGCTGCTAATGCACGAGTTCCTCTAAAGCCTGTCCTGGGTCACATACCTGTCCCTGGCTCGCCTGCTCTCAGGGGAGGAAAGAAGGTGGTTTTCAGGGTATTTCTCTGTTATTTACAAACCATCTCCGTTCCAGATGTTCCTTCTGATAAGTAGCTCAATTACAGATTTGCCTAATTTTCTTTCTTCCCCTCAGGTGGCTGAGAGAGTGGCTGCTGAGAGGGCAGAGGTCTGTGGCAATGGCAAGAGCACGGGGTACCAGATCCGCCTKCAGAGGTGAGCWGCTCCAGGGGAAGGGCTGGCTATTGTTACCCAAAGGAGACAGTTTGAGAAATAGTTCTAAAAACAAATAGCTGCTAATAGGTRAYAGYTAATGGGTGCAGTGACAGGAGCTTRCAGAGCAAAAGCTCTTACATTTGTRGTCAGCTATGATTTTTAAAGTATCTGAAGTGGTGCCAGCAAATAATGGAACCTTATTGTTGAAGCAAGACTGCTGGTGAGAGGAAGCTCGGGCCTCCCAGCATTTTAAGTGGAGGTCACAGAATCTCTGCTATTTCTCTTTGCTGTTCAGCCAGGCTGTCACAATGCTGTGCATGTGAGTGCCCTCWGTGCTGAGCCTGGAGCTGCAGGAGCTGGGGGTCAGCACCTCTGTGCAAGAGTTGCCAAAGGATGGCTGGGAAGTCAGGGCCTCTCCATGGTCCATTCCCCATCCACAGAAGTGATGCAMCAGTGGCCTAATTCCTTGCTCCTCCCATTGTGCTGTGAGTAAGGGAGGCAGAGGGTGGCACATCTGTATCRTGTCTGGAATGGCATCTGAAGCTGGGGTTTAAGCTTTTAAAGTATTTTGTCAAACATGAAGAGAACTGAGGAGTTCTTAMTGTGTCTCTTTCAGTCGGTTGCCGAGGAAACAAGGTTCCATTTTGTACTGTACCACGGGAATTGTCCTGCAGTGGCTCCAGTCAGATAAGTAAGAGCTCATGTTTAATGAGGCACTGAATGCAATTATGAAATGAGTCCTGAGCTGCTCCAAACAGTCACAACTCTGCTTTTTAATTTTTCTAAAAACAAAACWATAATTTTGTCCCCTTCTATTTTAGGTTCTTGTCCAGCATCAGTCATATAGTTCTTGATGAAATCCATGAAAGAAATCTTCAGTCAGATGTTTTAATGAGAATTGTTAAAAACCTTCTGGATATTCGACATGATCTGAAAGTCATACTGATGAGTGCTACTTTAAATGCAGAGAAGTTTTCTGCGTACTTTGGTAGGTGAAAWACTTCATAGGAATGTTCCTCTTGAGTAATTCAGGCTTCTACAGTACAGTGCAATTCTCAAATTTTAGAATTCRTTTGTATCAAAAGAAGAAATTACAGCTGCTGGAGATGCTGTTTCTCTCAGTGTTATCTCATTATGACCCGATACTGCTTCCAGTTTTGCTTTTCAGRCTTGTTATGGAAGCAGAATCTGCAGAGTGTTTTTGTAGTAAATATTTACCATGTTTTAGCATACTTGGTGTGAGTGGGCAAGCACATTGAACTTCTAGTTGTTSAGCCTCCTGGCTTTTTCCAGTAGCTGGAACCTGTTGAATATCCTGGTGTGCAAAATACTGCCTGCTGCCTGTGCTTTTTTATTTAGCAGATTTATTTGGGAGTGAATTGGTATCCTCCATGACATTTTGAGATGCTGTATTGCAGAAATAGTGAGGAATGTTTATTTCCTCTATTCTTTCATTGCAGCATTCATCAGTAGTTTTAAAATCAAGTTCTGCCTCTCTCCACAGACCATTGCCCRATGATTCACATTCCTGGGTTCACTTTCCCAGTGGTGGAATATCTGCTGGAAGATGTCATTGAGATGTTGAGGCAAGTGTTTTTTCTGAACATCATTTCAGAGAGTATTTGGGGGGGGTTAGTTTAGTGGATATTTGTTCAAAGATTAACTTGGCATAAAGAAGAACTACCTGGATTTTTCAGCAAAAAACAAGAGAGGTGTTGTACAATAATTACAGATGACACACAGCTACCTGGGAATGTTGGCATGAGGGRGAGAACAGATTCTCTATTGGTGTGGTGAATTTTCAGGCCTCTAAGTCAAACCAGTCTTTCTTACTGTTCAGACTTCTTTTTTTTCTTACACATCTCAGGCTTACCAGAGATGGTCCCTGCTTGTGTAAGATGTCTGTCAGAAGAGAAACTGAAGATGTGGCTAGCTAAAGCACAGCATTATTGTTCTGTCTGTTATTCAGAAAACTGCTGTGCAGTCGCTCCAGATTCCCTCAGGTTCAAATGGAATTGTGTTTGTTCCTCCCAAATAAAGCTACAGCCCGGAAAAGATGGACCGTCAGATGCACTGGAAAAAGCGCTTCATGCAGGGCCATGTGAGCAGGCCAGAGAAGGAGGAGAAGGAGGAGCTCTACAAGCAGCAGTGGCCAGGCTACCTAAGGCACCTGCAGGGCAGGTTGGGGCCAAGTTTCTCTTCTGCTTTTAGTTTTCAGTCATCTCTTAAGTGAGAATCATAAATTAGTGCTGTGTGGTGTTGCTGGGCTTCAGTAATGGTGGGGTAATGGCTGCTGTGGAAAATGAGGATGGAATTGCCTGTGCAGTTGGCAACCAGTGGAGTGCTTTAGAGGCAGCAGAATTAGCTCCCTTTGCCTGGGCAGACTCTTGAATTGTTCAAGTTAAATTTCAATTCATTACCTAAATATAAATTGTTAGTCCCTGGCTCATCCATAAGAAGGGGAGTGGTCACATACATGCTTCAAAGGCAGTTCAGTGGTAACATGGTAATTCTTCAACTCCTCTGAACGGACAGTAATCACACTGGACCAAGTCTAGACAATACAGAATACTTGGGAGGTGCAGGAATTGCTCARAGAACTGAGCTGATCTGAGCTGGGCTCACGGCTGGGTGGCTCGCTCAGAGCCCGGCAGCAGGAACAGGAGGAGCCCCTGGCTTTGTGTGTTCCAGGGGAGTGTCTGTGCTTTCCCTGCTGCAGGTATTCAGACAGTACAATCAGTGCCCTGGAAATGATGGATGATGACAAGGTGGACCTGGACCTTATAGCAGCACTGATCAGACACATTGTGCTGAAGGAGGAGGTACGGTGGGACTGAGCTGGGGCAGTGGCAGGGCCAGAGCTGGCACTGACTTTGGCTGGTCACACAGAAAGAAGAGAATTTTTTGTTTTACTCTTCTAAGAAGTAACTGAACAGCTTTGAAAATATAATTAGTCTTACATTCAGGTAAATACATGTAAGCAGCACTTTCATAGAAAAGACAGCTTGGGTAGACTGTTCCAGTCTGGGTCAGTGGGGTTTCAGATCTCACATGCCCACCATGTATCAGTGTGCAAGGAGCTGGCTCTCTGTGCTGTGTGATCTGTTCTAACCTCTCTTCACTTCCTCTTTTCCCTCTAGGATGGTGCAATTCTTGTTTTTCTGCCAGGCTGGGACAATATCAGCACTTTGCATGAGCTCTTGATGTCACAAACCATGTTTAAGTCAGGTAAAAAACAAACTCTACATGGGGATTCTGGCAGTGGCATTGGTGGCAGACTCCTTTTGCATGTTATTGCTGCTATTGCACTGGATTCATTTTTTTCTTCGTCTCTCTTCTCCAAGGCATTGAGCAGTGTTTGTGTGTCTCTGGTATCTTTCATTTGCTAACAACAACCCGTTTTCCTCAGTGTGGGAGTGACAATCTGAAAAACAACCTGACCTGCATTTTCTTCCTGTTCTTTCTGTAGTGGAAGAACTCCCATCCAAAACTGTCCTCCATTCTGTGTGCYCTTCGTCTTTGCTTCAACCTTGAGCAGCTTCCCCTGCTTTGCTGATAGTTGCCTTAAGTCCTGTTTATTTAAGAAGCTTTGTTACAGATTCTGAAGTACTCTGTGCCTGTCTGGCACACTTTAACATGTCCTTTTGCATCTCTCATATTTCCTTGTCACCAGTCTTAGTTAGCTGGGCTCTTGACTGTTCAGATGTTAACTTGCAGCGTGCAAAATTCCCATTGATTGAAAGATTGTGTCAGTTTGTGTATTAAACTTGACCAATTATTAAATAACTTGAGAATTTTAAAAAGAAATTTAAATTACTGTACATAACTTCATATATTTACTTGAACTTCACATATTATAGCATCGTAAAAAGAGCTTTCCWCCTTTTTACTTTAGAATGTGCTGTTATGATACAAGTATCTGTGAACTCAGAGCAAGAAACAGCAGCCTGACTTGCGCCTATATTCTGTGTTCTGTATAGTGGATTTAGTTGATTTTCCTGTAACATTGGAAGTTGGCATGCTTACACTTATCTTTTACTGATTTTTAACTTTCAGATAGGTTTCTTATCATACCTCTGCATTCATTGATGCCTACTGTTAACCAGACTCAGGTATGCCACTCTTTTATTGCAATATTTCATAACTACAAAAAAAAAAATTAAGCACCTCTTTGGTTTTGACAAACACATAAATGGGCYCTGGATAATTACAGGTGTTCAAGAAGACCCCGCCAGGAGTAAGGAAAATCGTGATTGCAACCAACATTGCAGAGACCAGGTAAGGACCTGCCTGCCCAGAGCCAGGAAAGCTGTGTATTTAACAAAAGAAATGAAAATGATATTTTAAAATATAAACCTGTTYGGTGTTCCCAAAAATACGTCTCTGYSTTTKTGCCATTTGTTTATAACTTTGTCTCTAGAAGTATTTATAGACTAAACAGAGTTTTCCTATGATTGTTTTAAACAATTCAACCAACTACATTGTTTTGAATAATTAACTRCAGGAATACTCAACAATTATTTGTATATGATAACCTGAGCTGCCTGTCCTCTCTTCAGAACYCATGTGGGGACTTCTACCAAACCCAGGAGAATGAATCAGCTGTTTCCTGAACTGTTCAGTASTATAGGTGTTAATGATATTCCAAACAGATTTTTTAACTGCTGACTCTGTTTGGGAGGGAAAAAGGGAGGCCAAACCCAATCCTAAGTCAAAACTTGCAAAGATGAAAAGTTGCATTATTTCTCTTTTTTTTTTTTTTCAACAGCATCACAATTGATGACGTCGTGTTYGTCATAGATGGGGGGAAAATAAAGGAGACTCACTTTGACACCCAGAACAACATCAGCACCATGACAGCAGAGTGGGTCAGCAAAGCCAATGCCAAGCAGAGGAAGGGTCGAGCAGGAAGGTGAGAGCAGTGGGGTGCTTAGGGACATTTGGGGATGTTGAGTTTCTAAYGGTGCTGAAGGTTCTTCATTGTTTGCATGTGCTGGCACAGCTGGCTCCTGCACCTTCCTGGCAAGGAATGGTTTCCTTGTCTTCCTAGGAAGCTGAATTGACTTGTGCTGCATTTAACTACAGTTTCCCTCCTRTAGAAGAATGTCCTGCTTTTATTTTAATTTTTTTCACTGTTTGCCCTCACATKTGATTTTATGAGGCTGATACATTAAAGTGCAAATGGCCTTAATTGCTGTGTTCTCTRTGCCTTCTTCCTGCTGATGGGTGTGTGTTTCAGAAGACTGAAATGGCTTTTACAATTGGATACACTTCAGTTCTAATTCCTTGAGTTTTTGGAAGCTCTTTGTAAACAGACACAATCATAATGTCGCAGTTTCTTAGGGGAAAAAGCCCCCACAACAAATGACCAAACACCAAAGAATTGTTTCTTTAAATCATTGCAGAGTACAGCCAGGCCACTGTTACCATCTGTACAATGGGCTGCGTGCCAGCCTTCTGGATGATTACCAGTTACCAGAGATCCTGAGGACACCTTTGGAAGAACTCTGCTTACAAATCAAGGTAAACRCAGGAATCTTCAAATATATTTGTTWGCTACTTTTCCATTGGGATWAGTGGTTGAGAGAAAAAGTTAATGCATCTGTGAGCCAAGTGTTGTCAAGCCCAAATTCTGTTACACCAAAAATGCAGTGTATTTAGCCCATAATTGCAGCAATATTTATAAATGCACACTTCTTTCTGGGTGCATCAAACCCAGGAGAAACCGAACTGTCTGGTATCAATAAAAGGTGACGTTTGCTGTGCTTTCCCCCAAATATTATTCACAGAAGCTTCAGTGAGAATGCCAGTGAGTCAATTTATGTGATGTTGTAGAAGAATTTGACTACAAGGTAGTTTCAGAATCTGTGTGAATTTTTCTTTTGGCAGTTTGTATTGAATTCCTCGTGCAAGCAGAAGGAAATACCATGTGTATGTGAATTGAATGAAGAGTAGATCCTTCTGCTACAAATTTAATCACTAGTACCTTTTTGTGTCCTTAGTTCTAAACTAAAGAAATTCTGACTCAAGCTGTGAATTACTTAAACTGKTTCCATGAGTGTGGTTATTGCAAAATAATTTTAGTCAGCAGTCTTTCTCCAGTTGCTATCGGCTCTTGTTGTGACTTTTCTTTCAGATCCTGAAGCTTGGTGAAATTGCCTATTTTCTGAGCAAACTGATGGACCCCCCAGCTCATGATGCTGTGATGTTGGCCATAAATCACCTCATGGAGCTGGTAAAGTGTTGCTTCAGCTGCAGGAATAATCTGTTCAGAGCTGTGTTACTGTGCATCACCAGACAGGTCTGACTGCACAGCTCTGGGCACTGCAACCCCTCACCCTTTGTGTGGAGCCTTGATCTCCATCACTGCACAGAGGCAGTAACTCACATAATCCATGGTGCTTGTGGGGACCAGAGAGAAGCTCTGAGGGACTTTTTAAATTACTCCAAACAGACACATGACCCTACATTTAAGTTCCCTGCAGGTGTTGATTTAACTCCCTTCTCTGTACCTGCTGCTGCATCCACAGCCTTCCTGTTGCAGGTGGATCAGGRAGAAGTACTTTGTGTATTGTTCCTTTGGGTGCTGGGCACGGGAGATTCATGATGTGTTTGTTCTGCTGCCTCCTTGTTCAGGTGTTATTGCACAAATGAGCTGTAGCCATAAATAGGAATAGCTCATTTTGTGTATGGATATTTAGTGAGTGATGCCCATGTAGCAGTGGCTTTTCCAAGGAAACCCTCCCCATGTCCCATGATGCGTCCTTTCTGTGCTTGTCCTGGCAGAATGCTCTGGACAGGCAGGAGGAGCTCACCCCGCTGGGGATCCACCTGGCTCGGCTGCCCGTGGAGCCACACATTGGGAAGATGATCCTGTTTGGAGCCCTCTTCTGCTGCCTGGACCCTGTGCTGACCATTGCAGCCAGCCTCGGCTTCAAGGACCCTTTTGTCATCCCTCTGGTAATGTCTCACAGACGGGAATTGCATGTGGGAGTTTAAGAATCTCAGGAGGATATTGGGACTCAGTGAGGTGCTATAGTTTAAGAGCAGTTGCATTCATTTCATGTTAGTTACATTTTTATGAGGGGGATTGCCTTCACATGCTATGAATTACCGTTTTTCCTATGGAATATTGGAAATAACTGTAATTTCCATGTATGTTTCACACAGAGTATTGCTGYGTAGATGTACCTGAATTAGGAAAAGAAAGCTGTCATGTCAGTCTGGATATTTTRTATGTTCTCATTTTTAGGGCAAAGAGAAAATTGCAGATGCAAGAAGAAAGGTGCTGTCAAAGAACTCAAAAAGTGACCATCTGACTGTGCTGAATGCTTTCACTGTAAGCATGTTACTGTTTTTTTCTTCTAGAATTTTGAGTAGTATAGCAGATCCTGAGGAAAAAGCTGATCAGCTTATGCTCTGTAGGATTTCTTTTTGGGCTTCTGGAGAAACACAAAACCAAACTGATCTTCACTCTTGTAGAGTTGAAGAAACTTGTTTCTAGGCTCAATAATCTGATTTCTTGTGGATAGGTCTGAAAAAGACAAAGGGAACAGAATGTTAATGGTTACCTTGTTGAAGTTGGTCATTCTTGTCCTTCTGGCCTCTGTGAGGGGCTGAAGCCAACTTCAGAAGTGTTAGGGACTTTGCTATATTGTATTGGKGGGGTGAGGAGGAAATAAATGGCCTGGAAAAAGCAGTTTCTACCCAGAACTGTTAATAACAACAAATAGTGCTCTGGCAAATGCAGCCAGGTATTGCTGCTTGCCATGGAAAGAGGAAGGTTGTGGTTCAGCATGTTGTAAAGTTGTGTTTTTCTGCACTGTGATATGTGCACATAATACAGAGAGATCAAAGGATTTACCTTCTCCYGTAGGGAACATGTAACTGTTGTTTGTTGACCTCCACTTTTTGCTGTCATTAAGTCTATAGTGTTGTGTTCACTTACAAATGCCTTGGAACTCTGGTTTYCATCTCTAGGGCTGGGAAGAGGCACGGCGTTGTGGTTTTAGGAATGAGAAGGACTATTGCTGGGAACATTTCCTGTCCTCACATACCATGCAGGTAACTGTCCTGCCAGGTTAAAGCAGGATCCTGGCTGTGGGGAGGAGGAGGAGGAGCCTTGGGCACAGCATCATTCTGGGGAACTTGATGTTGTTTCCTAGATGCTGCATAACATGAAAGGGCAGTTTGCTGAGCATCTCCTTGCAGCTGGATTTGTGAGTAGCAAGGACCCCAAGGATCCCAAATCTAACACCAACTCAGGTAACCATGGTGGGAATGAGAATCTATGCCAGCTGACATCTCAGCTTGCAGAACTGTCTCACTTTGCTGTCTCCTGCAGGTAATGAGAAGTTGCTCAAAGCAGTCATCTGTGCTGGCCTCTATCCCAAAGTGGCAAAGATCCGACCCAGCTTCAGCAAAAGGAAAAAAATGTGAGSGTTTGGTTTAATAGTTTGGCAAGGTGAAGCAGTGGCATGAGTGCATGGATGAATCTCACTTTAGAGTTTGTGTGTTACCTTCTCTGAGGATGGAATTGTTGATTTTTTCAACATCTGGATTCCTGCTAGTACCTGAAATAATTTGTGTRACCTTGCAGTGCCATGGCTAATGTTACAACATCTCAGTAGCACTGCTCTGAAGGGGTTCTATAGCAGCAGTTCAAACACTGTCACTTCTGGTTATTTGGGAGGAGGGAGCCCAGGGCCTGGTCTGTTGATTTATCACTTCTTGCAATATCCGAGTCTTTGGTTTTGGTTGTTGTTTTTTCTTTGAAGGCTKAAAGTTTACACCAAGCCAGATGGATTAGTTAATATCCATCCCAAATCGGTTAACGCGGTGGAAACAGAGTTCCATTATGACTGGCTCGTGTACCATTTGAAGATGAGGACCAGCAGTGTGAGTCAGGGGTTGTGTTTGTGGGGTTTATTTGTTTTATTATCCCTTTTTCCGTGAGATTGGATCAGGGTTCAGAGTGGATGTGAACAACCTTTGTTTTGGGGCTGCCATGTCCTGGGCCATTCCTTGTACACACCATCAGATTGTCCTTTGTGGTACTGGGAGTATTGTACCACATGATAATGAACTTCTGCAGTTTAGTTCTTAGGGGGGGTTTTGCAGAATTTGAAGTTCTTATATAATGTCTGGCAATAACAGGTGTGAATTTCTGTATTTTAGTTTGTTTTTTCTATTTCMTGTCAGTCTAACACTTCTCAATATGCTGACATTTTTTTCTCTTATTACGGAGCAGCTGATTTGATTTTCACCACTGTGTGAAAGACCTGAGACCATTTATGCTCTTGTTCAATCCGATTTCATGTAACTTTTGTTAAACTGCGTTGCTTCATGCATCTTCAGAATTTGTGAGTGACTGAATAATAATCATCTGGAATTCTGTAGGAGTCTCATTAAGGATTACTGATGGCACTTGAGATATTTTAAGGGTGATCAGACAATTTTGTGTCTTGCAGATTTACCTGTATGATTGTACAGAGGTGTCTCCATACTGCCTTTTGTTCTTTGGAGGGGATATATCCATTCAGAAGGATAAGGACCAGGAAACCATCGCTGTGGAYGACTGGATTGTTTTCCAATCTCCAGCAAGAATTGCACACTTGGTCAAGGTGACTGTGTTTCAAAATAATGTACATGGAAATCTCGGTGTAACACTGGTTCTGCTCGGGGATTTCTGGACTTGATAGTTCTGTGTGCCTATTGATTCATCACTCAGGGAGATGAAGTGCACTCCCAGTGAGCAGTTCAAGCACACACAGTAAACTTTTGCACAGCAGAAACTCTAGGATTCATTGGTCAGTCCAGAAAATAACCACATGGATATGGAAACATGAGGGAGGGGGTCCTCAGTTAACAGAAATAGGTTTCATAGAACTGTTTCATATCAGATTCCAGAAATAGTACCTTTTTTTTTTTTCATTTTAAATCAATATTTTTAATCCTGAAACAGTCAGCTAATGGATGTGTGGGCTGTTAGAGGCATCACATCCAGAGATGGTCATCYCTCATCAAAGGTAACACTGCTAGGTTTTGAGAGACAGCGTTTGATCCTGAAAATAGCTGTGTGGTAGTGAACTGATGGGAGAACAGCAGGTGTAAAAAGGTCAGGAGAACAGAAGGCCYCAGGTATTGGAACCTCTCTGTTGATGTGTTTGTAGCTCTAACTGCCCATCTCTCCTTTTTCCTTTCTTTCCTTCATTACAACAAATACTTTCCAGGATTTGAGAAAAGARCTTGATGATCTTCTACAAGAAAAAATAGAAAACCCCCATCCCGTGGACTGGAATGATACCAAATCCAGGGATACAGCAATGCTGACAGCTATTATAGACTTGATCACCACGCAGGAGAACGAGGAAATCAAAAACTTCGCGCCGCGCTTCCAGGGTGAGCGCCACAGCTGACATGCTTCGCTGAGCCACACTGCCAGCCCAGCCACCTTCTTTTTTACAGCATTTCTTTAGCTAGAGGAACAACTTTTGTAGGGTAAACTGGTATTTTCCTCATCCCGAGGAGCACTTATTTGGAGCTAGTTGGCAGTATGTGTACATGCATGTGTTCTGTGCTCAGTAGCTTTGGGAGGGAGAGAAAGGCAGTGTTGGATGGTGTATGGTTCTTGTCCTGTTGTAGCTATTTTCTTTGGTTTTTTTATCCATCAGGTAACAGAAACTTAAAAGAACTGTTAAAATACTGCTTAGTAATACCTAAACTGTTTTTTTTTAGTGGGGTGTGGTAAGTAATTACATTGCTGTGTTATTCCAGCTGTGCAGCACTCTGCTCACCAACACTTCCACAGAAGGTAATTTACAGCTTAATTAAGCTAAACCTGAAAACACTTGTTGAATTTGTACTATGGCAGGAAACAATCTTCAGAAATATTCTCCTCTTCTGCATTTCATGCCATTCAATTAACCTTCCTTTTYTTTCTGTCCCCATCCATCATCATTACTGACTGAAATTGCAGATTAGGGCAAGCGTGGCAAGATAAAAGTCATGTTGGGTTATGTGTTAAGGTTTAATTGCATTTGAATTTATTTTTTTTTAAGAAGTTCATGTTTGGGTTATAGTATTCCATTAAAAATCTTTTTTAAGTCTTATTTCAACTGTTCTCAATGTTTTGAATGTCATTCTGTTTTGAATGATTTCCAGTTATGGAAGAATGTTTGAATAAAAACGTTTGTTAAGCATTTTGAGGTTTATGCTCGAGCAAGAAAAGCTCTTGTGTCTCCTTTTATTTGCCTAGAACTAGAAMTTTTCTCTCTTCTTTGGTGGCTGCTTTTTTTTTTCTTTGCAAAAATGACCTTGATCATCAGGCTTGGGGAGCATTTATGCGCTGTATCCTGAAGAAAGCAAAACAGACCAGGTGAAACTTGTTTTAGCCAGTAATTTTGACTTATTTCTATATAAACGGTGCTTTCCATTGGGTTGAGGAAGAGATGGAGGGTGCCAAGCTCATCATTTCCCCTGCCAGCTGCACAAATCACAGCCTTCAACCATCCTCCCCACCACCAATTGACTGCTTCACCCTCAKCTTTTGGAAATGAGGAGAATAAGGCAGGCCCTGGGGCTTTTGGGAAGGGGAAAAGTACGGGCGGGGCTGTGAGGAGTGAGGAGCCGAGCCCTGAGCGCAGCCCCTCAGAGGATGCAGCAGCCACRGCATCGCTGGAGGTGAGCCCCGGACTCAAAGGGGAGGGAAAAGGGGAATAAATTAGTGTGATCTGGGTGGAAATGGGAATTAAATGATTCGTAGTGGGAATTTCGGTGCTGGAAACAAAGGGCGTCGCTGGGGCAGGAGGGGACAAAATGGCGCCCGGCGCTGAGGGGAAGGGCCGGCTCTGAGCTGCGCAGGGCCGGAGGGCACGGTGGGCTGCTGATAGAGAAATCTGTTAAAAATTGACTTTTTTTTTTTTTTTTTTTTTGCTAATGAAAATAGTGTGAAGTGTCGGAGCTCTGTTCCCTGGATTCCAGGGACAGGATGTTGGGGAGGAATAGTTAAAGCTGGCCTGACTGGGCTTGATGAAGCAGGGTTTTGCTGAGGGAATGGACAGACCCTGCAGCAGGAGCCGTGGAGAGGTGCTGAGGCCCCAGCTCTGAGGTTGTTYAAGGTGCCCTAAGGAACAGGATTTAACACTGAGGCAGCCCTGAGAGGCAGTCCCTGGAGGGACCTGGTCCCTTCCAGCTGAACTCTGCCAAACTAGAGGAAGCAGAGGGAACTCAAGACTTTTTCCATGTCCCACTTAATGATCTTGCAGCAGYGAGATGCTGTGCCTGGCCACTGCTCAAAGTCCAGCAGGTAAARGGGATCTGTGACAGCTGAAGTAGGATTCAGGATCATGTTATTTATCTTACAGAATAAGGAAATTTAAAATGTCAACATTTACTGAAGAGATTTAATTTCTCTGACAAAAGTTACATTAACAATTGGCAGCTTTATGGCTTTTTCTTAAAAAACAATTCTAAACTTTTTTTTTAGTAAGGATTTAAAAGCATTKTATTGATTGCTGTCCTATAAAATCATACAAGTTTTTTAATTCTTGAAGAACTGTCCAACAATAGGAAAAATGAAAAAYGTCTTTACAAAACATTACAGCATTYTGGAAAAACTAGGTATGAAAAMTATATACAATGTATTAAAAATCCCAGTAAAATTAATGCCTGGATTTATACATTCATTTATGTGTTAAACAYCTGCATGTATACAGTAAAATTTGTTAAAACAGTAGCAGTATTTTCACTATGTTAAATAAGTCTTTGTTCAATTTACAGTTTTCTCTAATATTTTATCAGTCCACTTATAAATTAATTTGCATGGCCGTAAAACCACTGTCACACTGTCAAAGWAAGTATTTGTGTACAAAATTCCTGCATTCCTAATGCAGTATAAATTGTTAGCTACACATCTTTACAAACACCCAATTCACTCACCACTCACATCAGCATTTACCAGGATAAAAACCAGCATCCATCCCCTTTGCAGAGGATGGGGAAGACAAGAAGAAGAAAGCCTTGGTTCTACAAATTGTCCCCTCCTTTCTAGTGAGCAATTTCCATGCTGCTGGGGCAGCAACTGGTCCTTAAAAGGGAGGGCTTTTATCATGCAGACTCTCACACCTCTCCAGCCTCGTGCCCTGAACTCTGCTTACCCTTGAGTGCATTTGTTCCCAGAGCAGTGAGTGCACTTTATATTCTCAATCACGCCCCTGTTCTGAAGCACTAAGTGAGGTGCAAGACCTCATTAGACACCTGAGGAAACCAGAAACAAAGTGCCCCCACTTCCAGCAATTACTCTCCAGTACAATACCTGTGCTTAGAGAGAGCAGCAGCACCTATTTTGCAGACTGAGGTACCTCCACTTGCTTTCAGAAATCCCTTCCCCACAGCAGAACTTGGAGTCAGTCTAAGCAGCCTCCTGGTGTTGAAGACCAGCCCCACTGGAGGCACAGCTCTGGATTCTTCCCCGAGGTCCTGCCAGCCTTGCCTGTGCCAGGCCAGGGCCATTCCTGGATTTGCACTGGAGAGGTAGGTCAGCCTTTACAGAGTTCAGAGCTGGTTACTCCAGTTCAGGTTCCACAAAGCTGCTGGCACGGTGCAGGAGTGTCCCAGAATGCTGGGGCTGTAGCACTGCGGGGACACCTCCAGCTCCAGGGGTGGGGCCCAGTCCTCTACAGAGCTCTACTGCTGAAAGGCAGTTCAGATACGCAAAACCAGATGGAGCAAGAGCATRAGGAGGCAGTGGTGGCAGAGCTGCAGAAGAGTGGTGCCCAAGACACTGCTGGTTCAGYGTGGAGCTCTCGGAATGCCAGCAGAGAAGGGATCACCAGGCTCCAGGGCTCTGTTGCTGGGTTCTGGCTCCAGCTGGCACAGCCCCCGTGCTGTGGGGCCAGGACGAGCCTACACGTTGGTTTCCAGCCCCAGCAGGCGTCCCATGCGCTCCATGTTCTTGTCCAGGGTGGCYCTGCAGGTGATCTCCTTGGCACACTCGGAGGGGAACCAGCCCCTCTGGCCGTCCCGCAGCCGCTCACCCTCGTACCAGCCTGCGGGGAAAGGGACAACAGTGACACCTCTGCAGCTGACCCCACCTGGCTGCTTGCACTAAGGTGACTCAGCTGACAGTCACCATATACATTCTGCATTTGCCTTGGCTGGCAATCAAGTACCAGTTTAGGATAGCTTTGGCAGATTTTTTTAATACGGCCAGACTAGGAGAGAAATAGTATATAAAAACTATTGCAGTTCCACTACTTTTTTTTTTTTTTAATATTGTCATTCAAATATAGTTTGACATAATGCTTTAGTACCAGATCCTGGGGTACTTGATCCTGTGGAAAACCTCAGCAAAGGCCCTGTGCCAGAGCTGTAGCAGCYRGAAAGCCCAGGCCTGGCACAACAGRCTGGGGATGTTTACCTTGGACAACACTGGCACTCACGGAAATGTCTGAGGTCCGTTTTAGACAAATTCGATTTCCTATTTGTGGACACCTCCCATGCCAACATCAGCCAGCAGCCGCACTCTGCCACTGGTTTTATCTGCTGCTTTCTTTATAAACCTGAACCCAAAGGCTCAGGCAATGWTTTCCTTGGAAGCTGAACCTTCACTCACTGCATCCCTGTGCTATGATAGGAAMCAAGTTTTTGTAGCTGGATACCCCTGCAGAGGTGATAACAAATAGTTACTGATAGGAAAATCATCACTCACCATCATTCACCTTCTGACAAACCAAAACGACATCAGCAACTTGGAGYGAGAGTTCATCGGCCTGCTTGGCTGTGTATGTCCTGATGATCTCCACCTGAGCCAACGCTGGGGAAGAAGTGAGCCAGGCTCAGTTAAACCAGTCACAGAGCAGGGGCTTTTATTACAACACTTCACCATTTATTTAACAAATTTCCACTTCATGCTTCCCCCCATGCCTTAGGGTAGTTCCAGCCCACCCCAGCCCCACTGAGGGCAGTGCTGYTCCCCTGCAGAGCACTCCCATTCCCAGCAGTTGGAACTTACTGGTCCTGTCCGTGTGGTGCCCGTCGCTGTCCTGGCTCAGTGCTGTGATCCAGCGGGCTCTGTCACTCCTGCAAAGCAGAAAAGCAAAACCCAGTGTCCTGACTCATRCCCYGGATAATGGTCAGCACTGGGATCCYCTTTCTTCTTCCAATATCAGCATCTCTCTTCAGGCCCTGTGAGTAACCCCTGTGTATTCTGTGCCTTATTCACAAGGTGATAGAATTCTCACTGAACACTTTTGTCCTTGGGACCCACATGCCACAGGAAGTGACAAAACAGGATCAAACTGTGCTGGAAACCTTTGTGTCAGGGAAAACATTACAGTTTTACCTGCACAAAACTATTCCAAAGGCACACTGAACTCTCTGAACTGTTTCGTCTTGGAGGTTCCCTTACCATCCTTCTCAAAGGACAGGATAAGACTATAAAAATAGRTAACTTAAAATACAGGAATTTTTTTCAGACTCTTGCTCTGAGTGATGATCAGCTGAACTGCTATTTATACTGCAAACAGCATAGAACAAATCATTAATAAGTCTACAGAACAAAATGTCTTTTCATACAAAGCCCAGACAACTAAAAATGTCCCGCATTTTTTCCCCAATGAAATTGCACTTCCAAAYAAGTCTGAATCATCTGCTGCCTTCATAATAAGATCTTTAATAGAAAGCACTGATGATCTTTAGTTCCTTTCAGGGTTATTCTAAACTTTGAAAGCAAACCTAAAAGTATCGATTTTTCCAGGCAGGGACATGTCTGGAGCACTCCCTTTCATGTCTCTGTCCTGCCTCCAGCTTTGCCCAGAAAAAATGAACTCTTTCAGTGCTGGGAGGTCGTGTGGAAGTTGATGGCACATGAGCATCCCCCAACAGGCACTGCCTGCTGCTGGTTTCTAAGGCAGGACATTGCTTACAGTGCCCAGGAGAGCAAGGACCAGGGCTCCTCCTGGATTAAACCCTGCTCTGCTCCCACTGCTGCACCAGCAATAACCAGAGTGCCCTGCTCCAGGCCCACAGCACTCCGGCTGTGCCTGGGGACACTGCTGTGCCACAGCCCCACGGTGACACCGAGCCTGGGGTGAGGGGCCCAAGGCCCAGCAGGCTACACTGAGCTCTGCAGGAGGGGAATCAAGGCCTTCTCCAGTAGTTTAAATCAATGAACTACAATCATTAATTAATCTTTACTACTTCAGCCAGGATGGGGAGGGCAGCCCTTGGAGACAACCAGGTGAAGAAATCCCTTTACTGTACTCACTGAGTCTCTGCTCCCAGGAGCATCTCCACCCTGTCCCCAGCATGGTTGCTGAGGAGCACGAGTCTGAAGAGGTGGGAYGCAGAATTCCGGCCGGAGTGCAGCATCCCTGACGTGTTCTTGCCGGGAGAGGAGCYGGGCTCCTCCCCATCACAGGGCACCACCAGCAGCTGTTCCCGCAGCGAGTACTCGGTGACATTATAACTTTCCTCACTGCAGGGCACAGCCAGGAGAAAACATCAGTTAAGGTTTAGTTTCCCATTCCAATTGTCTGGAAGCAAACGCAGTTGCAGCCACCACAGTTGACTCCATGGCGGAGACAGTTCTTCCAACACCTCACAGCTCCAYGTGGGGGTCACCAGCTTCTGCCAGTGGGTTTGGTGTAACACAAAGCCCCTAGCTCAGCTCTGGGGTACATTTTCACAGCTGTTCTGTGGAACCAAACACTCAGATGGTTTTGGGTTTTCTTCTGCAGAACAGCTTTGTACACCCTCAAAYGATGGACACAGAACATGCTCCTATTGGAACCAATCCTGCTCAGATGAGCTGAACCAGGGAAAGGGTTGGTTGGGGCTTGGTTTATTTGAGAGAGGTGGATTTTGTTTGGGTTTTTTGGGTTTTTTGGGGGTGCAGTTTTGTTTTTTTTTTTAAAGAAGTCAGTTCAGTATTTTCATCTGAGTAACTCCTGCTTAGCCAAGGACAGAACTGGCAATCCCAGCTGGGAGTGCTGCCATCACTACCTGGGAATCCTGCATCTGAAAAAAGAATGTGTCTATCTATTTGTGCAATGACTTATAAATGCATTTCTCATTAATAAATCAACTAGTCTGTACATGTGCGCAGCTAATCATAACTGCATTTCTTACAAATTAATCAGCAGATAAACCTCTACAAATCCTTCCTACTCCTCACCTCCATCCCACAAACCAGTTGGATCAGACTCCTGCTGAAGGGAATCCAAACACAYGTAGAAGCAGTCAGGGCATTTCAAATGAGTCGTCTGGAGTCAATATTGCACGGATTTCCCCCTGCCCTTCCCCTGACGCCCTCATCCAACAGCCAGGTCTGCGTGAGCAAGACTGGGCTGACCCTTCCCGAGCACCAGGCAGATCATGGCTGCCTTTCCCCAGGACCCAACATCCCTACACCTGCTGGCACTCACTGCTCCTTTTGAGACACTGCATTAGTGCTGGCAACTATTACATCTTTTTTTTAAAATCAGATTGTGTCTATGCACAGCAGGGGCTGGTAGCAGGGGCTACAAGGACAACTGGCAGAAGAAGCATTTCCAAAAAAACTAAAAGCTGGGTAGTGGGGAAAAGCAGATCTTTATCTCTCTCCAAAGCCTTGTGCACAGTGACACATGCCAAGTCCCCGTGTCCCCTCCTGCACAATCCTGGGGAGCAGCCCGGTGACTCCAGAGCCCTTGGCTCCCTCCTCTGCAGAGGCTCCAGCAGGTGAGAGCTGCTGACATGGGGCTGGAGATGAACTCTGGGTAAAGCCCCAAGTACAGCCTCAGAAATGGCCATTTTTAGCACGYAGAGGGGAGCAATGTCTTAGAGAAATGTTAAGAATCTTCTGAGATTCAACTGCACAAGGAAACCCACCAACATTCAACCTCAATTAGAAACAAACATTTCTGACCGCTGCTGTGCTGCCATGGCAACWCTGTGGGTGGGAGCACAGATCACCCAGAGCTCCAGCACCATTAATGAGCTTTGGCACTTGGGCAGAGTGAGCTTCACACTCAGGGAATTGTGCAAAGTGTGGAGGGGAAAGGACATTCCCAATATATAATCCTTCCCAAACTTCTGTCCTTGCTAGGGCATCAAAATGAACTTTTTAATTCATTTGACAATTTGGAATCTCAATTATGTCTGCCAAAAGTAAATCCTGTTTAACAAGCAGTTACTTGTTATTTGTAACCCAAGGTACAGACTCAAATAACTCCTGAACTCCTGAATTCCACAGCCAGGATGTTAAAAGTCACTCTGATTCAAGGACTGAACACAAAAGCAGTTKCATGCTGGTGAAGCTCTTACCTCTTCTTCTTGGTGATGATGAGGACATCATTGAAGAGGAAGAAGTACAACTGCTGCTTAGAGGTTCTTTTGGAAAAAAGTCCAGTGTCTTCTACATACGCTGTTAATTCGCCCCTCTTCACCAACCACCGTGAAGAGGAAACCAATGGAAATGGCTGSAAGGCAAGAAAATTACATTGTAATCCTTCAAAATTAGAGAACTTTTTAAAAACAGACAATAGACTAAGATCTATTTGGGGAAAATGCTTAAATAAACTCAAAGCCAGAAGTGTCCCCGGCACCTCACGGCTCTTCTTGGAGCAGAGGTGACATTCCCTGTGCTGCTGTCACCTGGGAAAGCCCCAGAGGATCTCAGTGCCTGATGTGAAGAGCTGGCTTTGTTCATCCAAATTGTTATTCCCAGCTGCAGGAGACACAGAGCCCACAGGAGGACCTGTTGTTTCTCTGGGCCTGAAGATGGAGGAAGATGTGAGACTGTCCTGGTCACACAGATCCTGAGGCTGCACTGACACAGACGCTCCAGGCAGACCAAGGTCCCCCCTAATGAACACAACTGCCTGCTTTCCCCTCATTTAAGCACCTTTCACATGCTTTTAAAAAACATYCCTTCATGCAGTTTGTCAGCTGCCTTCCCCATTCCGCATGAGCTGGCTTTTTGTATCTGTTAATCCCTTGCCTGAGCCAACTGCAGCCTGCCTGTACCTGCTGAGCCAAACCCAAACCCAGCACTGGGACTGAGACCTYGCTGCTGGAGGAACAAATAATGGCACCCTAAAACAAACCCCCACTTCTCTGGTGCAAAAGATGCCAAATTTAAGAATAAAAACTGCTGAAACTTAATTAAAAATTAATTACACAGTTGAGCCATGTACAAAGGCAACATGGCATTTGAGTCACTTCTCTAGTGCTCCCATGAAATTCTCCACAGTTACATCTAACAAAATAATAAACAAATCCCCAAAACTCTGTAAGGCTGGGCAAGAACTGAAATACTTTAACTAATTTATAATGGCTATAAAACAGAATTACAGTCCCATGATGACTGGTTTACAAGCAAAAAATACTTTAAAAAGTTCTATTTGAGGATGAACAAAAAATTCCTCTAATCTGTACTCCAAATGAGTTCATCCCATTTTCCTAATTGACTCTCTTCCAGAGGCAGCTTATTTTTACTTTAATTTTTCCTTACTTGCTTAAGGAGCACATCACATGCATCATGACCCTGCTACAGAAAACAGACTCTCAGAAATGAAAAATGCATTTAACCAGAGCTGACCCACTGCAGGGCTGGGGTTTGAGTGCACAAAGGGAGATCTCACTAAAAAGTACAGAAAGACGAAGCCCCCAAAGCTGCTGCGGCTGCTGCCATGGCACCAGCACAAGGTGGGGTAGGGTCAGCCAGGGATGGACAGGGACAGGGATGGACAGGGACAGGGATGGACAGGGACAGGGAGGGATGGACAGGGACAGGGAGGGATGGACAGGGACACGCAGGGATGGACAGGGACACGCAGGGATGGACAGGGACACGCAGGGATGGACAGGGACACGCAGGGATGGACAGGGACACGCAGGGATGGACAGGGACACACAGGGATGGACAGGGTTGGACAGTATGGCAGTGACAGACATCACATCCTCTCCCAAGGGAAGGTGAGGAACTCCAGACCCTGCAGGCCCAGATCCCAAGGGGCTCCTGAGATCTGAGTGGAAGCACAGAGCTGCTCAGCCTTGATGCTGGGCTGGACTCACTGAGACTCGAGCCTGTTACCACCCATCAGAAATGCTCTGCTGTCACTTGCCCACAAATCTTTTATTTGTTGTTGCTGTTGCTATAAGCAAATATTATTATTGCCAAATTTTAGGCCAAGTTTGAGAATAAAAATACTTTAGGGAAGTTGAAAAATGTCTTTTTGGAGGCAGCATTTGCCCCAAGCCTGACTCAGAGCCTTTCAAGAACTGTGCTTTTAAAACCATGAACCTCCACTCACTGCATGTCTGATAACGAAACAATCTCCTCCCAAAAGAATCCTAACTGTATGACTGTGTCAGACATTAATTACAGAAACTGGATGGTAACAAACAAACAGAAACAATAAATGTACTTAAAGAAAGATCCTGAAAGTCCAATAAACYTCCCCTACCTATGACTGCTGTTGTTTCCTACAAAAGACTGATTGCACAGGATGTTTTTAATAGAAACATGTGACACCCCAGACTGAAGGGGTAGGATAAACACCTCCAGGATCCTTCCATGGCTGGGAAGTGTCCCAGGAACACCTTTCCCACCAGATACATGAGCAAATCTCAGCATTGAACAGCAGCCTTTGGCCTCTCTCCTAATGCCAAAATCTTCACGACAGCTTTATCTTGACAGCAAAGAATACTCTTCATTCAGGATTTATTCTAAATCCTTTGTGCTGTAGCACCACTTCTACCAAAAGGAAAATACTTGACCAAAAGTTTTAATTTCTGTTCTGCCACAACAGATCCCTTTTTTTGCAAGAATCACTGGGGGATATGACCACATTGAGAAAGTTCAACTGCTCACTGTCTTGATTACAATGGTCAGGAATACGATCCTCATCCTACCTTGATTTTGAAYTCCAGCTGAGAGTTAATGGTGTACATCATCTCTGTCCTCTCCATCTTGCGGGCACCCTCGTTGCACAGGCGCACGAGCTGCAAACGGGATGGGCTGAGCTGAGCCTCCAGCACAAACTGCTGCTCCCCTGGAAAAGGCCCTTGTGGGGGGCACAGAACCCCAGCAGGGGCACAGCCACAGCCACGTGGTGTTTGTGGGGCCCAGTGACCCAGCCCGGCCCTGTGGCTGCACTGCCCCACCATCCCCTCACCCCAGCGCTCCCCAGGGCTCTGGCCATTCCTGATTCTCCAGGGGGACACAGGTTCAGCCCAGGCTCTGGCTGAGCAGAGCCACTGGCCCAAACACACACCCTCACCCCAGCGCTCCCCTGGGCCCTGGTCATTCCTGATTCTCCAGGGTCACACAGGTTCAGCCCAGGTTCTGGCTGAGCAGGGCCACTGCCCCAAACACACACCCTCACCCCAGTGGTCCCCAGGGCCCTGGCCATTCCTGATTCTCCAGGGGGACACAGGTTCAGCCCAGGCTCTGGCTGAGCAGGGCCACTGCTCCAACACACACCCTCACCCCAGCTGGATTAACTGCCCAGCCCACACTGCTCCCACCCACAAACCCAGGACCACCACAGTAAGTCCAGTTTGGGATCTTTTCCCAGGTAAGAACCTGTAATTCATCACAAACCACGTCCCCAGTGGCCTTTCTTAAACACAACAATGCAGAGCTTTTACTCCTCACTGCTCTTCCTGCCTGCATTATTTATGCATGGAAAACAATCCATTTTTCCCTGGAAGTACATAAGAATAAATTCAGAATATACCTTGCTGACTTCTTTCAGAGCCTGCTTGCAATTCTCATATTTTGCTGAATCCTTGGGGGTTTTCTGGCAAATAGTCTGAAATAAAACATCAGTTACTTCMGAGGACCAAGTAGCAGGGTTCATTTCAATCCCAGCACTACATACAATGTCTGTGCTGTCTGTGCTGTTTTGACCCTTTACGGTACAATTTTCCTATCAGAACATCCAAATATTTCACTTGTAAACAGGGGAGCAGGAGGGCCCAGTTTGCAGYAGGACTCCATAACCCACAGCCCAGGACTGGTGTAAGAAGATACAYAGAGACTGGATGAACCAGAACTGAGCATGAGAGAATGTTAACACTGCAAGAGCATTCAGCAAAGAAAGAGAGTGAAACAGGTTCTCACATCCATTAGTAAGGGGAGACGAGTGACTCTCTGCATGGGGAGGATGAGGAAGGAGATCATGGGCAAATTCCGGCAATCCTCATGGGACTCGATCCGGGACAACACCTCCTTAAAAGCTGGATTTGTGGCTCTGGGGAGAAAGAAGACAAAAGAATTAAATGTTATGTTTTACCAAATGATTATGCAAATCGCTATATTTTAAATAAACTATTATTTTATTAACAGGGAAGTGTGATTTGCAGGAGTCAGGCCATCCAAGCCTTCAAGCTTTATTCCCTCAGATCCACCAGCACTGACATTAAACCTGAGGGCAGACCCAGATGTGCCACACAGGGCCACTGTCACACCATGTGACACTGAACAGGGGGAGGAAGGGCAATGTGGGCCATGAGCTCGGGCAGGATGGGCTGTGCAGCCAGGAGAGCTCCCAGTGCCCTGCCCCAGAGGAAGGTGCCCAGCAGGGACAGCCCAGTGCTGCAGCCACAGCTTTGGCCCCAGTGCTCACAGCAGTCTCTGCAGGGACA